TACATCATTCATCGCCGACAGTCCCAGATCCATGAGGAAGAATGTTGCAATTCAAGAGGTTGTTGGATTCCAGTCTGAGTGTCCGCATAGTGAAAGAGGCATGTTCGATCCTCGGTGGGGTTAATGTGCTTGCCTGTTGTTGCAGAGGACTGAGAGGCGTCTCGAATCAGGAGAACACAGCCATCTGGCTCCTGCTGATTTCATTCAGTGATTTACCTACTGACTTCTCTTCGTGGGGAATTCTCCACTTAAATGAATGCAATTCTTCAAAAAACCTGAGCATTTAAAGTAACAGATGCCACCATTGAATTCTAGTAATATGTCTCGATACGAATTTCTCAACAAAAATTTCATATCTCTCACGGTTAAACAGGATTTCGTGTAGTTCACTCCATTCAACTGTAAATGAAGGAGATGAATTTTCGGTTAAAAAGCAGGTAAAGGATACAGGCATCGAGGAGCCAAAGTATCAAGTTACACAGTGACAGGTGAACTGATTTATGCAAAAGAAAATGGGCGTATGCGAGAATCTGTCCTGAAGACTTCCACAGACCAATGGCCGACTGATGAACACTACGCATAGCTCTGCTCGCTCGACGTGTATCCGGTTAAAATGAGCTGAGAACCACTATCCTGTAGTGTAGTGTAGTGGTGGCTCTGAAAACAGTGCAAACATTGAACACCTCGTCAACAACGCCTATTCCATCGGAACAAACACCTTCTGCATCATAGCAACCAACAGAGTGAAGAGTAATCTGCCGAAGGCAACCCACCTTCGTCTCCTTCGTAATACAGAAGCCTCAGTCATTCACTTGGAAAATTCAGAGTCATGCATACAAGAGGAAGTTACTCAACCACTCCTACTGTCATGATGACAAACGTGTTGGTTTCTACTGACTTGTGATTTGTGTCCTTGTTTTTCTGACTCCTAGTGACTCCTGTATTTCTCTAAGACTCCGACACATTCAAATATTCCCCTTTGTCTCCCTTTCATTCATCCTGATCCCAAGTCACTCAATAAATGTTTCACCTAACTGACTGACTCCGATACACTTACTCAACTTCTGTGATACATTGACAACTCACCACTACTACCCTCTTACCAATCCCTGACCACTCCAGCTACCATTTCATTATTCATCATGTGTCTCAAGTATTCTGACGGCGTAAACAATAACCCTGACTACTGTTCCTTCATGTTTCTCTGAGATAAAAAGTAACGCACACACACTCACACACACGCTTACAACAGTAACTAGATATAATGTGGCTGTTCAGCTGCGTGAATGAATTCGCCACCAAGAAGAGACTGTTCGCTGAACTGCGTGTTTCTATTCTTGATATTCACTAATGTCTGGATGCAGATTATTCATGAACGCAACTGCGTGTGAGTCGCACAGATTGACTAAAGGTGAGGACATTGTTCCACCAACAAATACCTACACAAATGGATGGCTTCAACGTATTTCTGTGTTCCCGTGATCAAGCAGTCACAAACACATTCCGACTACTGGTCGACCAACTGTCGAAGACACGAAGGAGTATGATGAAATACTCCTCGTTACTGACCGACAGATTGTGAAATCAAGAATAATTTCTTGATGGACATTTATTTAGTAAAGCATCCATGATAATCAGCGACTCTCTCGAAGAGCTAGAATAAATGCAAGTGAACACATTGGTTTCTCGTATTCCACTCCTAATGGTGATGAAGTAATTTTACTAGAATTCTCACAATTCAGATGCGCTAACCTCTGGATAAATTCTTCAGAAAGAATGAAAATTCTGTGAAAAGAAATTTTGTGTATAGTTACGCAACACGTAAAGAATGAAATACATCGAAACAGATATCTCACAGTATTCGTCAGAAGATATTGAGTAAACAACTATTAGTCATTTGAGAGCAGCTCCTTGACTTCAATGTATGCCAGTTTTTCTGCACATGGTGTCAACTCGCGAAGTGATACTGTTTCATGTCAGTGAAATGTCAGGGTATTTTGAAATATGTTGTGTTTATGATGTCATCGGTTACACTTTGCACAACGAAGTCTAACGTGCACAGGTGACCCCTGAATTTCACCCTCTATTTCCACAGTGAATCTCAATTTCAATACTGAGTCCTCATGACTATTGTTTGTGTGTGAGACGAATTTCTCAGCATCATTCTTCCGACCTTTCACTCACGTGTTATCAACACATCTCCACCAAGATTTTGTTGATGATATCACTTATGAGTCAGGTGCATTCTCCTCCCTAAAATCCATGGACGTGTCATACATTATCCGTAAGATGAGCGATCCAATGACCATCGCATCATTTTCGCTTCGTGTGCATTCACCATATTTTGACTACCAGCGTCAGAGTTTCTTCCATCCCCTTTTCATTGAAAGTATCCGCATACAATGTATCTGATCACTTCGTCTATTGGAAGTGTCATGTGTGTCCAAGTATTCTGAGTGTGCTATTGCGAAATCATAATGAGTAACACCGATACCTCTGGAATTCGAACACCAGATGGTGTCATTAGACTACTCCTCCGTCTCTCACATAGGTGAACAATATTTGAAATAGTGTTTATCCTTACTTCCGTGATCGTCAGGAATATTCATCCACCCATCTGCAAACAAATATGAAAGTTTCATCATTCGTTTTTGCATGCAGTCACAGAGTCAGCTTCACGATATTACAAGTAGCTTTCAAATGAATTCGATGTATACAGTCATCAGAGTTATCTGTGTATTTGAGTTACTAGTTGCTTACACTGCAATGACGCGTTTCGTGGTGAAGTGAGAAGACGATCTGAATGCCGTGTCATCCTCGTACCTCACATTTCAATAAGTGGATGATAACTGCAACAATTGACTGAGCAGTATGCAAAGCGGTGCCTATCCGAGTCACTCACACACACATCAGATTACAGGCATTCTCTGTCACAATCAAATAATCATGCTTGATTCTAGAAGTGTGTGCGAATGTGACATCACCTCATGATTTGTAATGTGTGACTAGTGTGCCCATTTCTCCGTTATGCAGGTTGTGGATGATTGTGCATTTTAGATATCTATTATCTTCTAGTTGGCCGTCTACTTGAATAATTCTCATACTTGAATTTAAATCCAACACGATGGAACATATACTCTGTGATCCAAACTATGTTGCATTTTCAATCATTTATTTCCCCGACTATCGGAACGTACTCACGCACATTTTAATTGCGCTGTGAACTTCCGCTGAGCATTTCTCGTGGAAGCCGTCGAACAGAATTATTTACTTACATATTAAAGCAAGGCTCACAGTCTACGTTGTCATTATTGACTGTGACATTTCAGGCATCACCATGTGAACTGAATCCTACGATTTCTTCTCTCGCTATAGATGAACAGATCGTTTGTTGAAGATTCATCGGAAATACACACATTCGCTGTTAGTTTCGTGTATCAGAATTGGGAACTAAAGTCAGGTAGGTGAAACCAACGTCAAGATGAAGACAGGTCACTGTCAGTAATCACAAGGAGTGAAACAGATGAGAAGAAAGCTTATTTGTCCGGCGGAACAGAGTGGAGTTTAACTTACAAGTCACCACTGGCGGTTCTGTGGTTTCTGATTTTCCTGTGGAATGTGCGAAATCGGATTATAAATACACGAATATACTTACATGTTCACAAATAAATCGCAAGTAACAAGTAGTGAGATTTCTTCACGGTGCATACTTTATTTATCGATGTCGAAATTCCGGGCACAGATAGAAGAGGCTTCCTGAAGGATCGGTGAACTCGCGTTGCCACTAGTGCCAACTAGACATCAACACTTTGTTTTGCAACGCATTCGAGGGATTCAGAAAATGCGCTTTCCTCCAGGAGGCAAAGATGACAATATTTGGAACAGAGGGCCGTCTTCAATTTCGTCAGATTCAGTGAGAAAATATGCTAAGCCGTCTGATTATGAGGAAAGCGTGTTGAAGTTTTTGGACTGAGTGAGAACACGCATCCGTCAATGTTTAACATAGCAAGCAATGCTAGGATGTCTGTTCCATTGTCCAGCTTCTGGCCTAATTTGAGAGATCCCCCCTCCCTCGATTGGCGTTCTGAATAATGGGTGTGATGCATCCAGGTGAAGATTGTCTTAGTCGACACACAGAAATATGAGCGACTGACACAGGAGCCAGGACATGAGAAAATGAGTGATACACAAGAGAATGCCTTAAGCGCAGAGTTTCGGTTCACGTAGGAGTATGCACGCTTTTAAGCGTGTCTTTGATTATAATAACCGATATAAATTGCACATGTGAGCATGGACAACATTTGCCATGCACAGTGTGGTGTTGATCGCATCAAAGGCTGAAGAGCTGATTAGTATATCGGAGTCCTTAGATGAATTGGAATATTCATTTCCATTTGTCCGTTACGTCGACTGTGAAAAGGCTTCTGACTAGGGAATAGAACTGACCGTCCATTGTGATTTGCCACAGACGGGACACATAATTCCTACCGCCCAAATGAGTAGGAGAAGAGGATTCCTTCACATTCCTAAGAATGTCTCCCATCAGATGTGGTCGTCTTGTTGCTCAGTTACCTTGATCACTTGTGTCTTCACTTGAAGTCCCGTATTTCCTGCTTATTCTCATAACTTGCTGGTTTACAGTTGTACGTCCTCGAGTCCATGTCACATTGGAAATACGTCGTCCATGAAGTCAAGTTCTTCTGGAGCCTTATGTATTTTTTCTTTTCAGCGTAAAAATGGTCTGCTGCAATATCCAGAACACAACATAACAAAGAGTGTAGTTTTCGACTACGTGAAAGCACGCACCTCTCTGTTCATTATGGAATTTCTCAAAACTCTAGAAAATCAGTTGATGGTTTCGAGAATCAGTGCAGAATGAAGATGCAAGCGACCGTTAATTTACTAACTCCACGAATTTATTGGCTGTTTATCGAGAAATGGTTGTGTATTCATGCTAACAAACCGGTTCACACGGGTGAATGCAGTTACCGTGGAAGAAATTATGATTTCTGCTTACCTTCGAGTGATGATGGATCGTCTTTGTCTTCTAAAACTTGGAAGATCAGAAAAATTATTATTATATTTGAATACGGAAGAAGAGAACGACTTGGTTCTCGACCGACTTGGAAGTGACTACAATGGTCAGTCCACTGTGTATTAGAAGGTCAAGTCAAGTGGTGAATACAAAAATATTTACTGTCTGGTTGGGGTGTAGTGCCTTGTAGTCGTAGAGTAATAGTGAGTCCAGTCTCTCTATTCTTGAAATAGCCTTGTATGTAACATTTTCCAGATGTGTTAAATGACACAATTGTATTCCATCATCATGACCTATGACAATATAGTATTTCGGGTTTATCACGAGCCTACACTGATTGGAGACCAGTGTGAAACCAACACGGAAAACTAGACAGCTCATTACGCCTTCTAGCTTTGATTTATTCTCTGATACGCCAAAACCTTGTTTCAAATTGAGTTTCTCGCGGTTAGGTGTCAAGCGCGTGGATCATTCAACCACTCATAAAACTCGTCGGAGACTGACTGGCTAAACTAAGATGAATCAGGTATCCAGTACTCCCATGCTTCACCATGCTTCTCTGGTTGATGTCAGCTCGCAGTCAAACCCATGAACCAATCAAATACCTGCAAAACCATACTCGATAATGTGGTACACGTCAGGGCATCTTCCTCAGGCTCTCCACCAACCCACGTGTTCGCTTTTGCCTGAATATTCGATACTGCTTTGAGTGCTTTAACTTCCATAGAGGCTATCGATTGCTATGCCACGAAATGGTGTCAATGATGTGCTGTGTCATAGTATTACATGCTCGACTTCAGCTGCTTCATTGCTGAGAGCACTATCTTGAGAAGTGGTTATACTGTTGCGTTTATGATTGTTCCTCAGGGTTCTCAGTAAAACATGGGATGTCACCAGCACACCTCCACTTCGACCGATTCCATGTGGTCCTCTCCATCTGGTCCCACGATACTTCCCAGTCTCTGTTCTCCTCCTCGAACGGCCTCCCTCATGTTCTCTTCAGAATCACTCTCCATTCATCTTCCCCGATACCAGCTCCATCTGAGAGATGGCCTGGTGTGCTATGTTTCCCAGCGTTCTCCTCAGTGTCTGTCCAATGCATCGCCGTTTACTTCGAAATATTTGTTGAGTAATATGTTCTCGCATGATGGGTTCTCTCCTTGGTTTATTGTCGCAAATTCTTACGTTCATCTTTCCATTTTATTGAACATAGTAAAGAAACCTTTCTTAGCTTCCCTGTTTTTTTTTATTTTGATGTGCTTTCAGAAATATTTCTGTTAACATTTTGAATCTGGTTTCTTTTGCTGAGCTGTAACGTGAGATTTCAACTGTACCTTAGCGTAATCAAATCTTTTCCTAACTTTCCCATTCTGGTTTTCACATGTCAATCCAATCTGTCTCTCAGTATCTTTGAGATCGCTTTCTATATAAGTGGAGGAATTAACTTGTCTTACTATTCTTATGAACTCCTGTCTTTGTCGCCTTCCTTCTCTGTCGGTTTATTTGTTTGTGCCTGTAAAACTAAGAGTTTGTATTTGCTTTCGGCTGACTGATGATGACATTTTTATATTTCTTAGTGGACACATCGTCGAGGATTTATTTATAAGTGACAGGATTGATGTGAAATGTTACTTCACACACACATGGATTACTGTGAAATCTCTTCTCTATAGTCAGCGAAACTGCCTGCTTACTATGATTTTCCGCAAAATGGAATACATCGCACTAACTGCATTCAAGGTCAGATGTAAAATTGGAGGTAATACACACCTGATATTACAGTCTCTTTATTCTTTGCCACCCTCCTTCGGCGTCCTAAAATATACAACAGATGATAATATGGTCTAATTTTTTTGTAAAATATACGTCATATTATTGTGAAAATAGTAATCTTGCAAAGTGGACGGCTGATCATCACAGTGGAATCTGTACTGTTCACTCCATTTCATACTTCAGATTATTTCACTATTTCAGCAAATTTCTGCAACTACATCGCCAACGATTAATTAATATGCCTGCATGCCTTGGAAGATGGATGCGATATTCCCTAATTCATACCGCATTTCTTCACCGACAATCCACTGATAACTAACTGATAGCACGTTAAATAACATAATGTGAAGAAGTCTCAGTTGCTTTTCTTGTTTGATGGGTGAAATTATAGTTTCACGAAGGAATATCTCGCAACAAGAGGAGTAAACCAGCTCAACCAGATTGTGTACTAACCTGATTTTCCATTTGATTTCCTTCTTCTTGTGTCTAGCACATTTTCACGACCTGAAATTTTAAAATGACACCAGTTAGTAAAACGAAGAGAAACAAATTGTGGCAGCCACGCAGTCTTCGCATTCCAAATATAATGAAGTTTGAAGATCATTCTTCTGCAATACTAGGTGACTCGTCAACACGAAGCACTTCGAACTGTTCCTTTTATTAGATGGTTGCAAGCAATCGGCAAGAAGCCCTGAAAGATCGATATTTCGTGCTTGTTGACTGGCAGTCGTTGTTCAGCGAAACTTATCTAAAATCCTGAAGAAGCTTATTTCGCTTTTGAGATTTGAACCTGCGTAATTCACATTTGTGTGCGGAAATGTTACCACTAACCTACCCAAACTTACGTTTAGCCTCCCTTAGGAGTGTGAAATAGGGTACTTTGATTAGACACTATATGTTAGCTAACGTCATATATGTCGTCCATCGTTTGATTTGTACTGAATGGTAATATTGCAAATGTGAAAATGAAACGTTATATGTTTCCTTGTCATATTAGTTGAACAAAACACGTGTTACAGAGAACTGTTACATTTCCTCAAATTCTCCACGTTAATTGTTCATCCTCACTTATGAACAAATTTTTCACGCCTAATTCTAGTATTAAAAGTGATCAGTTTTTATCATTCATAATTACGAATATTAACTGATACGTGAGTGTACTTGGATTGAACACCATCACAGTCAGGTAGTAAGGTGAATAATTTATTGAGTGATTTGCAATGAGGATGCACATGGAAACGAAGGAGACTAGTGAATTGTGGAAGAGATCTAGAGAAATGCAAGAGTCGCAAGGAATCTAAATAGCAAGCACACAAATCACAAGCCAGTAGAGATCAATGCGTTAGTCACCATGATCGTAGGAATGGTTGGGTAACTTCCTCTTGTATGTATGACTCCGGATTTTCCAAGTGAATGACTGAGACTTCAAAAATACGAAGTAGATGAAGGTGATTTGCCTTTAGCAGATTAGTCCTCACTCTGTTGGTTGTTATGAGGCAGGAGGCGTTTGTTCAGATGGAATGGGTAGTGTTGATGTGGTGTTCGATAGAGCCACTACTACATTTCCGCAGCCAAGCAGGTTATCGGTTTTGAACATTTTTGAAGAGATACGCTTTGATCTATCATGGCAACAATCATGCTGACCTCTGCTCCTTGAAAATCTTGTATTTCTTTACAGATCTCAGATAATATTTTATTTTGCTTCGTTTCTATGTGCATTTTGAGTAGACTAAATTCATCACATGTTTCACCTTATTACGTAAATCTAACACACTCATTTGACTCCGTTCATGCATTGACTAACATAAGCAACTATTAATTTAACACTCTGTCTTTGTCATCAGCGTCATATCATGTGGACATGAGTGAGTCTTGTCTGGAACAAGGAAAAGATATGCAGTGAGCATGTATACAGCTGTTAATATCGTTAAACCATAAACAAGCTGTTCCATCAAAACATATTCAGTGTCAGTTTAGTGTGTTTAAGTAGACGACAGACTGTATTTAATGTACATGCACATATACATATATATGCGTGTTTAGCGTGCATAGAATTCATTTATATTCTCAGCGAAATGTTATCAGCGCGTTATCAAACGCTGTCGACGAACAGTTGCACTGTGTGTCCCAGCTCAAACGTATAAACTTACTTGAATATGCTGATTTACCGTTGGCTAATTGAACATCGGAGTCTGTTAAAAAAGACCGGATTCAATGACATGACAAAAAACGAGAAGAGCACAGAAAATCTGGTGACATCTTTATACCAAACGAAATATATTCACTTTTCTATTTGTTGATTTAACAATTGAATTCGATCAGTATGAAACTCTACACTTATTGAAATCAACAACTTCCACAATATCGCAGACATCAAAGCAATTTGGAACTGTAGTTTCAGTAACTACCTTCCTTGAAGAATCATTTTCACAGGTATTGTTCCAGATATGAATAATCTATATGGCCACCTAATCTCTATATTCTCTGAAGCGAGAGCTCCTAAGGGATTGATTTCCCCTCCATCTATGTGTCTTGACTTGTTTAAGTGATATTTACTGTGCATATTTTCTATGTATGTTAGCGTGTTGTCAAACATGTGTATCTAACCGAAAATTACATAGTTCTTCACTGAATCATACCATCGTGGATATGTATTCTAGAACGTTTAAATTTACTCAGTGAATATTTATCTTTCAAAATTCGTCAGAATCATATGTAAGTAGATAAGTAACTTTTAGTTAACACCACTGGAACAAAATCTGAATTGCTTTGTGTTTGATTTATAGCAATCAATATGTCTGGAAAATGATACTGTTTTGTTGTAGTACGAGTCTCCTACACACTTCTTACCGAGGAGATCAAAATCTGAAATAAAATGGGATTCAACCATAGAAGTATAAAACTTGGGCATGTAGGCAGTTTATAACTCGATTATGGATAAGATTTTATTTTGATAAATCACAAAGTGTTCTCGAAACGTCATCAGATAATATTACTGTACATCACTGTGTGATTTATCAAAGTAAAATTTTATCCATAATGGAGGTCAAAATGGGAATCATACGCTAGTCAAAATGTTATGAGCTGTCAGGTAAAATAATAACACTCCTTATTCTTACAAGATTCAACGATGAAACCATTGAATTGTAAATTCAAGTCAAGTTTATACTTTTATTTCGTTCAACACAGGCAAATGTCGCGTAACATATAGTTCCAATAGGTTATCGCAGCTGAAATCATCACACGTTTAAATACGGCTAAGTACCTCAGTACTTGAAGTTAATTCAGTCTGCCAGTATATATTCATATGTGTATCATCAAGTAGCTATGTTCGGGTGGTTAGCGAAGAACTAGAACTGTCATCCATCATTATATTACATATACTTACTCTTGTTTAGTTTGTTTTATTCAACTAAAGCAAGACTTCTGTGTATGTTCTCTACTGAAGTAAGTATGTATAGAACTTCAACCTGCTGCAGTTCCAATTCCAATAAAACCTGAGAAATAGCATAATCGCGACTGGTGACTTTTCTCAAGAAATGACGTAACTGTTCCTGAGATTTTTAATACAAACTGCAATTGCTCAAGGTAAATGAATCAGTTAGAAGATCACAGAGACTTGCAAGAGAACCGAGATATCATTATGAACTCGCGAAGAGACATTCGATTTGTGGAGGATGTAGTGATCGACAGTTTCTAACTCTGTATGGTTTAAAAACTTACTGTTGGTGAATAATATTTACTATATGAAGTGAAAATAATTCCACCAAATACAAATTCTTAAATTCATTCCTCTTTGTGATTTTGGTTGATTTCTTGTAATTCAGTCATTGCAAAATACTATTATCGCAATTAATTATTACAAAACTGTCACTGTCCAAGAGAAATAAAAACTAGCTATCTGCAGTCTTCAGTTAGTCAACACTGTTCCTGTATATTAAATGGTATTGCTGACCAATTTCTTTAACTGTGCATTTCTTCAGGGAGGCAAGTAATTATGATCACTGCAGTGTTGTATCAAAGTAAGATTTGGTCCGTTTCTTGCCATGATTCATCAGATGTTTGTAAAAGTGAAATAGTGAAGGAAACTGGTGATGATGCCATGAAAATAATTAATAAAATGTTTAAGTTTTCTATGTCATTCTTTAATTCAACTAACTCCAAAGCTTTTCTCATCACTATGACATGAGCTATACATTTTCAGAAAATTTAACCATGTAGAAGATAATCATTTTTAGACATTCACTTAATATAAAAATTATCACTGTAATGAGATAAATAGCATTTATAATAACCGCCAATACTTGTGAATATTCAGTTTACTCACATGCAACATTGATTCCGACGAACAGGAACAAACAAAGGAAGCAACAGATCTTCATGCTGAATGTGTTGTAAGTAGCGTAGTTCACGGGCTTTTATATTGCAACATATGTCGTTGTGAACGAATCAGTAATAGCCGAGTTATTCTGCTTTAGCTATTGGTTGAGGGATTTCACGTCTTGTTACTGATTGGTTAGTGATTTAGGTGACAGTACCATGATTTGTTTTTACATAGCAGACTGCCCTTTTATGCTTCGGAAGAATAACACACCATATATGTCAGTCAAAGCTAGTTTTTTACATTATATTCACTAACTTTTAGGTCAATTGAGAACTAGTCAGGAAGATAGGTAATTTCTAAACGAAATAAAAGTACTCGAATGTGTCTTCAAACAGAATAGCAGCATTGCAAAACAGAAAATGGATTAGCAGTTGCGCCAAGGATACAAAGTACATTCGAATGTGTCTCAAGTCTGCGAAGCACAGAAATTTCATTTTTAACAGTCTCGTTAAAATGTGTACAATGATATTCACACTATGTGATACGAATATGAATCTCAAAAATCTCTGTAATGCCGAAACACATTAACTTCAAGGTAGGAGTAGGATTCAACAGAATGCTCAGGTAGAACGAAATGTCTCCAAGGAGATCAATTTACAAAAGCCTTCATGTAAAGAAGATTTGAAAGAGGGAAGAAGAATATTATGCATTCACATTTCTTAAATTGTCTTTCCACAGACAAACTGAGGGAACTCGGAAGAATCTTGCTGTTGAATCTTAAAAATAGAAGTGATAATAGGCCAGCCATAATCTGAAAGCATCTTTCACATTCTCCCGATAAAGGATACTTCTCTGTCACCCTGTAAAATTAAAAATCCGCCCAGCGTATGCAGGACAAACTGGGGTATTGGGCTACATCGGCATGCCTGTACCATTTCACCTGCTCCTGTGAAGCTGATTCAGATAACTGTAGCATACATCTACTTGTATAATGCACTCTGGAATGCGGCTCGACATCCACAGCAAATGAAGAATACAAGTGAGTCTGTAGCACCCCTATAGTAATTCTAAATACGCGCCTACACGTAAGTATATTATACATTTACAAGAACCAATTTTTCATATGCTGGTGGATTATTCGCAATTTTGTTATTGAACATGGGTTTTCTTTGTTTCATATAAGTTTCGTGTGGTTATAAACGTTTTCGTTTCTCTCGCACTTTCGAATTTTCGATTTCGTAGACAAAACATCTTTACAGCGTCAGCACATCGTAGAATGTGAATACACAGATGTATTAGAGTATTGTAATCGAAGTTTGCAATGAATGTATACGTTGACAGTTAGATATCTCGTGAAACTAGGAAATTTAGAATAATTTTAAAATTACTCAAAGTTTTAAAAAAGACATTACCAAATGTCTGATGAAGATTTCACGGCATAAATGAAACATCATTAGTGTTATGTGTCAGCACGAACTTCTAATTAGCATTTTTTGTCATTTATTTTTGCATAGTCCGTGTTATCTGTCTCTTGTATTTCGAGTTGAACTCAGGGCTTCAACAAAACATCTACATATAGTCTCGTTATTCGTCGTGTTTTTTCTAGATGTCTTTACTACATCCCATGAGCTCCTCCTTCCTATTCATGTGATATTCGTCACGTGACTCTCGGATGCCGACCTCGTCACTTGACATGCAGGTTACGTTAGAATGCTTGATAGAGCATGACACTCATTGATCCTTTTAGAGTGAATATCTCTTTGATGACTCTTTCGTCTAGAAACGTTTATTGTAGTTTATCGATCCAAACTGATCAGCTGGTCTTCAATATCACGTAAAAGCACTGGGTGATGAAAGAACACAGTAAATTGTTGGAGATTTTTTTCCTGTAATGTTAATGTCAACTGACTGCAGTAAATAGAAGAAGGGACTTCATATCAGCATATACGTCATGAGTAATGCTGCGATTTATTGCAACTAGCTCAGTGATTGGTAATGCAAATAATTAAACTGAATCTGTGACCAGTCATGTGCGCTTTGAATGTAGACAGTGTGATGACATCAGAATAACCTTCATTAAACGTTTTCAAGCAAACAATTTTATTCACCAACTGTGAAGATGATTTTTATTGAGAAATAATTGTAAAAGGATTTCACAAATACTTACTGAACAAATTTTTCTTTGCAAAAATAGTTTCCATAATGAATCGAATGTCCTCAATATTCACGGTATTCGAATGCATCGCGCTAGACCTCCAAATATGATGCCGCAGAACACATGGTCTAGAGTGGTTAACCAAGAACTTGAGTAGGTAAAACATGTAAATTGACACGAAAGATTTGCATTCTGTCAAAGACAGATTAACTTTAATGACACAGAAAGAGAACGTACCACCTCACCTTTTCAAAAATCCGGCTCATAGCAAATCACAGTCGACGAAATGGTTGAGATTGAGGAGAAAGCCGATTGAATTCACAGGAATGGCATCAGTAAGCGAACAACACAACACCCTTTGAAACTGTTGTGGACAGTTTCAGTATCAAATCATTCTGATATGAGGATGGATTAAAGCCTCCATTTATTGCACGAGGAGATTTATGAAAAAAAGAGAGATGCTGAAACGTGAATCACTTTCTTCAGATACTAATGAAACAGGAACATATTGTATATTACTACAATTTGTTAGATTCAACTCAAGGGAATCAAAACCATCTTTGAAAAGCAGACATTAGTCACTCTTCATACATTATGGTTGATTTCTTCATTTATTCACAGAAGTTTCATTTGTTCAAGGGAGAGTTTGTGATTGAGTGAGATTCTGACAGGATGTTACTTTAGATAAAAGAAATTAGATACACCACTTAAGTTTGATTAGTACAGGGATTTTCTTGTTTATCGAAGGAGCGTCTGCTGTGGACAGATAAAGAAGCTGGAAATCCTTCAAACAACTGCGACCTGCATTCTATATTGCTGTGAAAGATTTTTCTGTTGCTACGGTTAGCATTTTAAGAGCAGGGTGTTTTTGAATTGAACTACCGCTTCATCTTATTTCTTTATTCAACAAGTATATTGCCAGGTTTCTTTGTTTGAGTCTGGACAGCTTCCTAGTCGCTGGACTTTTCCTTGTGTTGTGTATGCGCACAAACTCGTAATTGAAGTATGAAATCGCACAGCTCAATCAGAACAAAATCTTTTATTTCTAATAGACATTTTCTCATTTCAGGTGACCAGAAGACAACAAGACCTGTTCTCGTGGACTGCTTTTGTGCAGGGAAGATGATAGCCACGCTTCCAGACTCCTTTCTTTCTCAGACCTACTATCAGCTTGATAATGATGGGGACAGTCTAATGCTGTTTTAAAGGATATTGGACCTGGATCACTTGAAAAGCAGGCGATCACACTATCAATTAGTTACCATCGCAGTAAAAGCCACGAAATCCATTCCACTTTGTTGATTGAGTGCATCACAGACAACGAAACAGAATCATATATGCATGATGAATTTCCAAAATCAATTCGTTATTCTTCGTCATCATATCGGTTATGATTGCATATCCTTGAATCTGTAGATTTATGGCTTTCTTTTTTCCTTTCCATTCGTTGTGGAGGTAGTGGAATTGTCGTCATGACCAAGATAAACCCTTAATCATTACTAGTGTGCATATCCCCAGTTTGATTGATAAACAAATCCTCGGTTATCAAATGTCCTTCAACCGCACCATATTTAATCCAAAGATTCATCTTAGGATACGAAATTTAGAAAATACTTAAGTTGTACAATATTATGCAATTGCACACAATCATACAATGCAATCGGATAAGACGTCAGTCTCAAAATATCTTTTTACTGGCGGAAGCTTTACCTATCAATTCAAGGGAAGACATGTGCAGTAGGAGTGATTTAACGTGTGTCCCCTCATGAGGCGAAATTCTACTGCCACTACAACAATTGGGAAGAACTGAGAAAAAAGAAACTATCCAACTCAAATCCCGTGGTAGTGAATTTATAATTGATGGGATTATGAGCAATAATAAATTTTTGTTCGGAACTTCGTCATCCAGTAAACAGCACTGAATCGCTGCGTGATATATCCGATAGACAGAAAATCATTTGTACTTACAAACTATCACAGTGTTCACATTTTAAAAAACTGATACCACCCGACAACCTAAAATGCAGAAACAAACCACTTCTCACACTGATTAATTCAGATCATCGGACAACAATCAGTATTTCTAAAGTGACATAATGCAGTCATGAAGCCTTTCACCAATTGATAAACACCTACGTCATGTACTGAACAAAATGTGAAAATTTTCGGTCAATTCAATCGAGAATAATCATCATTTGTCTCGTATGCTTTACGTGATATATTAGTGTACTCTTAAAAATTTTACTTATTATCTGATGACTGAAGCTCAATTTCTTCTTTTGTGTAAACCTGCTTTATCTTCACATTTCTATGGCGCATTCTTTACCTATATAAAACTGGATATATTTTGTTAAATAATGTGAAACTGTTATCATTTGTTTTAATTAAGAACACACCACATTCCTCTTCTGTGTAAAAAACTTACTGATTAACAAGAAAACAACATCAATAAACTATCAGAACACCACATATATCACGTCATATGGGTATAGAAAATTTGCTATAAGACTAATATATTAAAATCAGGCGGTCAAAGTTTGTTAACATACATTAGACGTGTATGTTATGCGTGTTTAGTGATTACAAAAAGCACTGAGAGAGAAGCCAGCCTCATAAAGAACAGAGTAACATACGAAGCAAATGCTTTACAATCAGGAATACAAAGAAATTATATCAAAATAAATCGATAACATTATAGACAGTACAGTTTCGCTAAGAAAATATCTGGTTAAAGATGCATCGAAAGATTATTAGAAGTGTAGTGGGATAGCACACACTGTTACTACTGCTACTACTATTATTATCTGATATGAGTAGTTAAGGAACTTGAACACTAAACATGCCTGCTGAACAGAGAGTAAATTGAAGTGATCCATTGAGTGGGTGGCTAATTCGCTAGCTGA